TTTTATGTAGTTACAGTTATCTCCAAAAATATAACTACCAGGGCACATGCAGACAGGACAGTATTAAAAAAATTAAATCTGATCATGATGGAGTCAAGGAAGGGGAAGACTAGGGAAGTAACTAGGAACACATGCAATAGCACTGAACACCACTGAACACACACTCACTGGTAGTAAAATTTGATGGCAGGGCTTTATTGTTTGTTTTAAAAGATAAACTCACTAAACAAAGGTATTCTGAATGTCATATATTGCTTTTATTGCCACAAGGATTAGATACTACAAGCTCAGATTGCATTTTCCCAGTTGCCATAAAACGTGAGGCAAAAAGACTTCCTGTGTGCAAAGAACAGTTGAGTATTACTGCAGTCCTCAGGTCTCCATCCAAACCCAGCACATCCAACAGAAATGAACTACAGACTACTACAATCTACTGCTCTATGATATTTTCAAGGTAACAAAAAAAAAAAAAAAAAAAAAAAAAAAAAAAAAGCCAGAGAAGTGACGAAGTGACCTTAATTTAGCAATTTACCAAAACACCACTCTCAGACAACTCCATTAGCAAAGAATTGCCAGTATTTATACACAGACCACACGAGATCAAGACTTCCCAATAACAGAAATACAACAAGAACAAAAACAAAATGGAGCAATGATCAAACTGAACAAGGACTGACACAAGTAGGAGCTAAGATCAAAAAATGCAGTTGAATGGAACAAGCTGGATTGCTGACCAAAGTCAGGGGAAGGCTTATGATCCTCTCGCCTTCCCACTCCTACAGGTACTAGAACCTCTGGACAGGGCATTTCTCTTTGGGTTTTGGTAAAGGTAGAGACAGTGACACAAATGCAATCACAAGAATCTGAATGACCCTACTGACATATTAGGTTTTGGGTTTTAATATTGAAACTTTAGATGATCTAAGTATTAAAACTGTAAACTCTGCTGACAAATAGTCTGAGATTTGAACAAACAATATTCCCAATTCCTTCCAAGTTACCTTAAAGATCACAATAGGTTTACATTCAAAATACAGTAACCCAAAGAGATTAAAAAAAATAATTTTAGGCTAGTTTTGACTGTGCTGTTGTGGCTTTAAAAATAAATGTTTGGGTACCAGGACCACTGCCATCTGAGCCATGCTGTGCTTCTCAAGCCATTTTACATTTCATTAGGCAGTCTCAACTGAACTTCTAGCAGGAATGAAAAACACCAGTGAGACCCTTTAGTGCAGAACGCTCACATACTCGCTGCAGTCCTTCTGGATGCACGTAAGCACTTGGCATATAGAAAATTTACTGACACTATGGTCAGATTTTACCATTGCTACAGAGAGCTAGTAAGAATAAAACTAGAGATGCCTTATTGGCAAAGCCATTGAAAAGGCACAGGAGACAATTTTATTCTTCCTGTTCAGAGTCATTCTATCCTTTTTTACTACTAATATATTCCAGAAACAAGACATAGTGAGCTGCATGTAATTATCTTACTCAATTTCCATACAACAGAAATTTCTTTTATTGCATAAACCTACATATTCCCATCTTCTCCTTTAAAAATGGAGACAGTGAGTGGTTTAAGTAATTACAGCTGTCATGGAGGGTTTGACAAATAATTTTTCTGCTCAATGTATGCTTTAGGCCACTGGGAAAGCTGTCAAATAATGACATCAGAATCTACATTAACGCTGGCAAAATGCAAGTGTGCTTCCTTTCACATTTAACTCAGGTGGTTTATAGCCCTTCGTTTTTCTATTCTGTGGTCAAGAACATTAGTGGAATGAACAAATGGGTTGTAACTCAGATAAAACGGGGAGAGATAATGAATGTTAAATGAAAGTAGGAAAGAAAATGAAAAGAAAAATGTACAAAAGTATATCCTTCATTAGATAATGAAGAAGCTTGCTCATTCTTCATCATCAATGAGCTTTGTAAACCTGCTCACTTCCGGAAAGTCCAATTAAGCTGTAAGGGAGGAATATAAAGGAACAAGATACTCTTTCAGTATCCAAGTTATTAGTTATTACTACACTGTATTTCTTGCATATCCCTCACATATGAGAACATAAGGTAGGTGACTGCATCACACACTGTAGGAAGTTATCTTCCTGCTAATCCATGACAAAGCTTTCCAGACTATCGCATCTTCAATTTGATTTTATAGGCGATCTTAATTTCAGTCAAAGTACAAAATAACTAGAAATTCACTACTGCTTTACTGCCTGCTGAAGTTATACACTCAGTTTTGAGAGTAAATTTGAGCATTGGTTTAAAAAGTCACAGGTGTGTTTTCATCATCTGGAAGACAGCAGTACCCAGAAGCAGCCAAGGCTCTGACATGAGTAGAGAATCCACTATCCAGTGAAAAGTTTATGAACTTAAGTAAATGATTAATGAGGAACTTATTTTCTCCACCTAAAAAAAAATACTGTATTAAGTTCAAAAATAAACCTGACCTGGTTTTGCTGCTCTAGTGACAGTTTAGGAAGTGGTTAAGAATGGTACCTAGAAGCTATTACAGCTTGAGCACCGGAGTCAGTATTAGTCAAATCTGAACCCATACAAGGTCCAAAAATATGTGATCTTCCCATTGATTTAACATCTGGAAATGCACCTTATGGCTGACATAACCTACCATCAACCTCAAAATCCACACAAAGCACCCAACTAAACTTGATCAAACCTCTGATCTCTAACACCCTGTTCCTGCTGACCTGCTTTGCTGGTTCACCTGCGCTCAGAGCAGTTTTCAGGCAAGACCAGCGGCTCTGTCAGGGCTTGGGGCAGTGTGAAATCCTGCTTTCCTGGCAGGGTAGTTAGTTAATGAGGGATGTGATTCATTCCCACCTCTGTAAGCATCCATGTGGTTACACAGACGTGCAGTTACTTTTATTGCTACAAGAATGGGAATTAGCTCTATCAGTATATGATTCACACAACAGAGGCGTCTATTCAGGCACACGAGGAGGAAGGTTTGCACATCACTGTTTCATCTTCAGTTCTGCAACTGAATTTGTAATTTGGGAGCAACTCCAGTCATTTTTATCAAAAACAGACGTGCAGCATCTCATGTGCTTGGAGTCTGTGGTACAGCACAAAGGAAGGCTCTTGGGAGTCTAAGGTGTGGGGTGTTGTTTAAAGTGTTTACTTTAAGTGTTCATGACACCTAACACACAAATACATTGTATCATATTTTTTGTAGCTAGTCCTATACAAAAGAATTGTTAAGTCTCCTATGAACAAAACTGTGCCCAGCATTATTCAAAACAAAACCAAAGAAGTCAACAGACCACACAAAAAAAAAAAAAAAAGGCACAAGATGAAGTTATTCACAGCAGCCTTCAAAACAGAGAATTTGAACATAATGTATGTCCCAACACACTCAATAAGCTTTGCTTTTTACAACTTTAAAACAGTTCTAGCTTTTTTCTAAGGTTCATTGTGATGATAAATGCACAAAAGTGTATGGCATGCACTGCTGCTTATTAGCATTTAATGCTTCTTGAACAACTACAATGCAAATATTCATCACAATAGATGGGAACCTTGGTGGGAACAAGAATTCCCACAAATTGTTTAAGAGTACAGTAAATGAATAGTGTTATAAACAAAAAGCCCAAACCCCTCACAAATGTGTATGCTGTGTTTGCTTACAGATTAATCCACTACGCATGCATTGTGCAACTGCACTTGTACAAAAGAAACAAAAAAACATTCCAAACATTTATATCTCAACAAGAAGTGTTTTCTATGTATAGATGTGTTCAAGACAAGCAAACCAGTGTTGTCTCAAGGTTTGCTTGAGTTTTCATGAGTGTTTCTTCTGTTAGTGAGAGATTTTTGCATATATAGGATCTGACGGAACAGAGTATGAAGTCAAGACAATTTTAAAGGTTCCATTTTGAATTACTTAACACCAGTGCAACCAGCACACTTAAAAACGCACACAGTAACTTGAAAAAAGGGATGTTGGAAGCTTATTTCTAAGCTTGCAAGGTACAACTCAATACTAAAAAGTCTAGATTTCAAAGCTTCAAGTAGATGGCATGCTGACACCTTTTAAAGTTACTCTGACTTCACTTACACAACTGCACAACTAAAATAAACTAAATCTGATCTACATCATGTACTAAGATTTCTACATCTTGCACAAACTCTCATTTCCCAAGTCTCACCTCTCTACTTAATACAGTAATATGCACACAAAGATGTGTTTTCACTTGTGATCAAGGTACTTACAGTCAAAGTATACGTTTTTTAGTCTACTCTTATAAATACATTTAAGGAATAGAGAGGACAAAATCCCTAATGCTTATTGTACCTTGTATAGTAATTAACAATCTTTAATATCCTTAAATCCATGTTATACAGGAGAAAAAAGAAAGGCTGTGATTATATTCACAGTATCTTTCATATCTTCTTATGGCTGTTTGAAATTACAATAACAGAAGCAGAAGAGCTTATAGAGCTTATAAAAGATAGTTTCGTTAGCATACACACACCTGACAGCCCTTATTGGAAAGTTGGTTTCCCGTGTCAGCAAGACAAGACGAGAGATTGTGAGGGTGCACACACGTATGCGTATATATACACATTCACATATAGGTGTATCAGAGCAAGAACAAGGCTAAAACCACAGCAAAGAGCAGCAATTCTGAGAAAAACCTCACAACGCTCTTTAAAACAGTTCCCCATATGGGAAACATTTTACAGCGGGGATAATAAAGAAAAAAACCCCTACAAATGGAAGAGATTTCATCGGACGGGCAAAGGAAGAACCCTGCCACAGCTCCTCCATCCTGCCTCAGCCGAGGAGAGGAAGGGCGGAGAGGGAAGGGAAGGAGGCGAAACCAGCTTCAATTTAACGAAGAGACAGCAAATTGGTCACCTCAGACCCGGTGCCGAGCGAGGGGCTGGCAGGGCAGCCAGGACGCGCAGAGCCCCGGCGAGCCCCGCTCCCGCTCCCCGCTGCCTCGCCCCCCTCACGCCCTGCTCCTCACCAGCCTGGGTGGTGTCGCTGAGATCGTGGTTGGCGGCGCTGGCCCGCGGATAGTCCCGGAGCTTCCTGCCGCTCAAACTGAGGGTCCCGCTGACCGCCGCTTCTTCCAGGGCTCGGTCCAGGGAGCGGCTCCAGGAGCCGGGAGCCGAGGGACCAGGCGGAGCGGGACAAGCCGCGGGCATCGCGGCAGAGCCGCCCTCCGGCGCCGCCATTTCCCCGCCACAGCCCGGCCGGACGGCGCATGCCAGAGCGCGCGGCAGGGGCGCATGCGCGGCCGCCGCCCGGCGGCTCCGGGACCGCGGGGTACCGCGTCCGTCTGAGGCGGGCCGAACCGGGCCAGCCTCTCCTCGGGCCAGCCGGCGGGCACGGGGATCGCCGCTGCGGACACGCCTGGATACCTGCTGCAACTCTTAAATATTATAATTTTCCCGCCAACGTGAGCTGTCACAGGTTGGGTTCTGGGTGAGCATCGCTCACAGCTGCTGGGTGGTCGAGCCCGTTCCAGCAGCAAAAAATAAGGACAAAGCGCGCAGATCTCCGCTAAGTGGGAAATGTAAAAACTGCTTCACGTTTTTTTAATTTTATGATTCAATACATTAGAAGGCCACACCCTTTGCTACATCTTAATAAATGCCATCTTGCCCTGCTGCTTCCACTGAACCCACTTGATGCTGCAGCCAACACACCTGAGCTGATAATGAAGAACAAAGGCTGTCAATAATCAAGTAGCAAGACATTCACAGTATTCAACGCTTTATCAAATATATTTACAGGCGGTATTTTGTCCTGCACTGACACTTAATAGCAGCATTTCCAGTTTTGTGCCTCCTGCTGGCACAGCACTCCCACACAGCCACTCGGGCTGTTCGTGCAGCACAAGCTGTTGATGACAGCGATTCTCGCTATCACGACAGGTCACAGCAACAATCGCTGCTTGCGCTGACACATCTGGTACTCTCACCACAACAAATCACTGAATTAGGCAGTGCTACTGAAACATTAATTAGTAGCTGACACATTCAAATGCAAGTTTAGTAGCCGACACATTCAAATGGGAGTGAGCCTCTACAGCACCATTCCAATAAGTGCTCCCTTGTCAGAGTATTAAGCTGGGCAAGGAGTGTGAACCCTTTTTAAGGTAGGTTGCTTTCTGCTCTGTTATTCAGAATATTTAATAAGAATTTGATCAGTAAAAACCCCTTGCAGGCTATCAGAAAATTCACATAACCAGTATATTGCCCAGGTGGTTATAACAGGAACAAGACAATATGAAACCTGTAACTTTTTATTAAAAAAAAATTAACAGCTTCAGTATAGATCAAATGTAATAACTTCTCCAAAAAATACCAAAAGGTACAGTGTAAAGCATCTTCTCATTAAATACAAACTAGCACTTTTGATGCACTGCATCAATGTTTTGCATCTAGGCTGATGCAAAAGAATTTTTTTGTTGCATCCTGGCACATGGAAAATGAATACACTGAAACAGGATGACTGACTACTCTTTACCTACTCAAATTCTAACAGTGAGACATTAATTAAAAAAAATCCTACTAGTAACTGAGAAAGAAATCTTATCACCATTACATTTAGTTTGCCTCTGCTAATGTATATTTTTCAACATTAAAAATAAGGGTTTCAGTCCTATTTAGCATCAGAGTGCACTCTGACTTCAAAACTATACAAAAAAAAAAAGCCCTTCTGCTGTCAAGTGCTCTTTAAGGTTGAAGTTGCCAGTATATGCTAGTTAACTTGGAATTTGAGATAAAAATGCAAGGAAACCAACTCTGTCAAATATAAATTCTTCAAGAATGTGAAAAGGAGTTAAACCTGCTTCAAACCATAAATATTCCTGGATGCAGCAAGCCAGCCACTCTTGTACCTGACTGTACCTAACCCTCCTCACCAAAAGCAGTGATCATCAATGCCTGGTCTGGAAGCAATTCTGAAGAGGTGCCTCAGTTTCAGGGATTATATAAATATAGATTGAGGATGCCCTAGTTGTTACTGTCCTGCAGATTCTGATACACAGAGCTGTGCTTAAAGCCAAGTACCTACATGTTCCTGCCTAATGCCTTACTCATGCTAGCAAAGTGAGGGCTTTCCTCCAGCAACACTCTTCAGTTTCAGAAAACTTCCACATGTCTGATCACTTTAGATCAGCTTCACATCTTACCTTTCTTTGGTATTAACAAACAAGTGCCACAAGATTGCTTGCCTCCAGCTATTTTTAAGAGTTAGAGAAAACTCTCTGGGGCAAGGTATGCAGGATGAGAATCCTGTAACTGGGAGGGTAAGGAACTCTACCATACTGCTGACTTCCTTGTGAACTGCTATATTTTTTCCTCTCTAATTATTCAAAAACATGAAGTTATTGCATTAAGTCTGTGAAAAACCTTTCAAAAAGAAATAAAAATCAAAAGTTTAAGAAGAAAAGGAGACGGATAAACTCCATTTACAGAGGAGGATGATGAACTTGAGCTACTTGAAATATAAAGGACTCTCACACTGCCTCTGCAGTATTCCTCCAATATGGTATATGATCTGGACCACTTTTAAGGATAAGAGTAGAATAGTCTCCATCCCAGTTACAAATTTTGGGTCTCAGCTAACAGCTTTATTTATGAATGTGAGGATGCAAAACAGTTTTCAAGAAAGGAAAAAAAATGGAACTTTGAAAACACAAAGAAGTACAGAACCAATGCTCCCATGGAAAACGCCGCTACATCGCTACCAAAGTATCCACAGACTGAGGCTCTGTGCTAAACTGGTCTCTGAAAGAGAGCTCAAAGGCAGTCCCTAAAAAACCCAAAAATGGGGTTTGTAATTAAACACTTAAACAATCTTTACCATAACAGAGGGATCAAAGAACTCAGATGGGCAACAGAATCTTTTCCAACCAGGTGATGGTACCACTATGTTGGATCAGTTTCTCTCCACTTTTTCTCCCTCAGGGCATTAAGTTTTTTACCATTCCAAGTAAAAGTAATAAAGAGAGAGAACTCTGCCACCATCTTAGCAAGATGTCTGGAGAATTCTAGTGACATATGCTGTATTCTTCTGCTCACTTTTATTTCAGGGACTTAGGAAGGTGGGCTCAGTGCCAAGTCCATCTGCCAGGTTAGCCCACTGTTACAAAACGGCTTCCTTTGTTCTGAGACAGTGCTGTCCTCTGCTCCTTCAGGATCCCAAATCGTTCATTCAACGTCATCCCTGTCTGAAAAATAAAGTAATTTAATCAAAACTTTAAAGGTGTTGGGTTAATTTAATCAAAGTAATGGAGACAGAACAGTTTTTTCTTCAGTCTGTATCATCACTTGACTCCTTAGTTGCTTCACTTGGATTTTTTTGTCACTTCCCACACCATTTAAAAGTCAGATTGGACTACACTTCAAGAGCTTGCATTTTCAGAATTCATTAAGAACACATGGTATATAATGCCAGTACTCAAAGCCTACTCAAAATATTATAAGTTAAACTGAGGACAAACAGACTGAAAAATGGAACTTCCAGTACACATTTCCCCACATAGATTCTCTGCAACTTCAAGAAATTCAACATTTTCACCATTTTAATGCAGGTTGCTTTCCAGTTCAGTCAGCTAAGGCAGCAAGCTGGAGTCTAATCTAGAAGTTTGATTAATTTTACACTACAGTAGTAGACTATTTCTGTCATAGCTCTTATTCCTGGATGGAACAAATGCATATCAATGCCTTGACTCCATGCAGATTTCTACAGCTGGCACTAAGGAGCTGATTACAAGAACAGCATCTAGCTCTGTCACTCTGTAAGAATCCCTTCAATGACAGCATTAGGATTGCTGCATCAAATCAGGTATGAATTCTTCATGAAACTTATGAAAAATTGCTCATCTTTCAAGCCTTCACATGACCACATTTAATTTTTTTTTCCTAGATGGACAGCAAAAGTTGCCTTATAAATTTGGTTGCCAGGGTTCCGGCAGGTCACACAGCTGAAAGCAGCTCACCCCTGAATTATTCACAGTTGTTGATGCAAGCACAGCAGGAACACTAGAAGCTTTTTAGAAATATTCAACATTTTAAATCCCATTTAAATCATGTGGGCATGCAAAGCATGAACTAGAAGAACAGGAACAGTGAGTTTAGCTACTTGCTTGAAGTTTCACAGTGAGTTAGCGGAGAGACTGGAAGTGGAAACAAGATGTAGTCTTGCTCTCTCTTTCTGTCACTTGGGAGTCTAGGAGCAAAGTGCCTCACTGGCTTTTATTGGTCTTGAAACTACTTCCACAGTTATGAGAGGAAAACTACATTTACCTGTTTTCCAACACTATTTATATCAAACTGCAATGGAACCCCTTTTGGAATCTTCTTCTCTTCAGATTGGTCCCTCTTCATCAGAAATGGTGGCACAGGACTACGAGTTAATCGCAATTTCTGGGAACTGTGAAAGAAGAATGTTACAAAGGATATGATGAGCATGTGTTTTATGCAAGAAAGCCTTAATGCTGATAGAGGTATGAATTCTCCATGAAACCATTTGACCAGACTGTCTGAAAAGCTGGAGGGCACAAATTCAAGAAGTAAGTCAGGCAGAACTGAAAAAGGGACCATTTGTTATTGTTATCAGGCACAAAGAGTCCCAGCAGGAAACCATCTTATTTTTTATCTGCAATTCTATTGAGAAATGTGTTATTTGTGATTAATTAATCATATAAATACAAAAAATAAAAATTCGTACAGTCTTCCTTACAGATAAAATACTACCGAGGAAATGCTAATCAAGGCATTTTTAAAATATACCACCTATAAACAACAGTACTATCAACTTCCCAAACACAAATACAGCAATGCTCTCTTTAAGCATAAGTCCAGCAGTATTTTTATGAATCAGGGAGTAACTGTTACCATTACTCATCAAGTAGGTGCTCATTCATTTCAACTCAGAGGCAGAAAACAGCTGTGACATGGCCTAATTTGGAAGGGACAGATAAAGTGAAAATCTACCAGCCCACCACTCTTCCACTCTATACAATACATCAAGCTCCTAACTGGGACCTGACATGTGAGCTCCAGGTGCGGTATTTTTCAAACACTGCTCAGAAACACTGAGAAAGGGGCCAGACTTAAAAACCTTCACAAGAAGCTTTGACTTTGAGGTCACCTGAAACACTACCTGCAAGGAACATACTAAATGATTCAAAGCAGCAATTTCATTAATGTTCAGAACATTTCAGAACTGAATTGAAAACTCACACTGG